TTATTTTTAGGGAAGGCTATTAAGGTAAATAATTATATTTTGAAATTTTATTGAAAATTTTGAATACGAATTTTATAATTTTTCTAAAAATGAAGTAGATGTAAAAAATAAGTGAAATTAGTACAGATAAGTAATATGAAATTATGGTGAATGCATATTAAAATTTATGGGTGATTGTGTGTTAAGTATAGATTATGTTGAGGGAGTACTAATTCCTAAACAGAGGCCTGTAATTACCTCTGTACGGTTGTTCTTTTTACCCTCTTCATGTGAGATAATGTTGGAGGCTCTCATTTTATGAGTATGTGTAATTTTTTCTATATTATTATACTTTTTTGTATTGTGGAATGTATAAGTGCAGTTCTCAAAGGCCAGTTACCTTATGCAAGGAACGAAGGCCTTTTCAAGTAACTGCCTAGGCACCCTGGACCACCAGTGCAGAGAACAGACTGGTTAGCTCAAGATGACAGCCCTATTGATGGATATGTTTGTTTAGAAGTATTGCGAGGATTTCCAGTTTGATAAAATCAGGAATTGCAAATGAAAGATAATAACGGTGAAACCATAATTTCTGAAACTGTTACTCCTATTATATTTATGGTGTTAAAATATAATTTATCAATATGGAAATTAGTATCATAAATATGTATGTGCATTACTAAGTAATGATTATGTAAAAGTTTATTTTGTGATATTCTATGATTCCCTAAAGAATTATGATTATGTGAACTCTCAAACAAAAAGACGGAGCACTAGTGATGCGTAGTTATCCTGTATTGAAGAGGAAGTATTTTGATTGTGTCGTAAGCTAATGTGTTGACTTCGTAAATAAAACGTGGCAGTCGAGGCGATTTTAATTCCATTTTTTATTTCCAATTGACATTATGTGGCCACAGATCACTTGGCACCCTAATCGTGCCTGATCAAGAACATTTGCATTATTGATATTATTGCAATAGGAAGCAGCGTAGCGAAATTGCGTCCAAGCACAGCACAGGCAGAAACTGAAGTGCGTAGTTATGAAAGATGGAAGCACGCGAAGAGAAAAGTTTGTGTTTACAATGGTAGTTTCGGTTCCCAATTATTATGTCATCAGAGCTGCGCAGGCCATAGAATGATCTAGAAATGACGCAATCCAGAGAAGTTATTGCGATTTTTAGAATAGAGAGGGAGAATTAGTGTTTTACCGTTAGTTTAAATTGTAATTTTGATTCACATATTATTTATCTTACATATGTATATGTACATTTGGTGCGTCTGATCGTAGCAAAAAAGGGGGGTGCAAAACTAGATCTTATAGCAGTCTCATATACAAAATTTCAACATTTACGGCTACTCGATTTTGAGTTCATACGTACGTGCCTACATAGAGATGTCAAGAAAAAATCTCTTCTGAATTCATTGTAACACCTGTTTTGAAAAAAAAAAAAAAAAAAAAAAAGAGTCCTTTATTCTGTTCGTATGTACAGATGTCACGCGAAAACATCCTTCAAAAGGATTCCAGAATGGTAAAAATCGGTATTTCCGCTGAAATATAATACCTAAAATTTTTCCCGATTACAATACTTCTTTTACTTCGTACAAGAAAATAAAAAGATAAGTGTATAAAAATTCTCATAGTTCATGCTTTGCCTAGAACCACCAGGCATTCTATATAAGATGCCTAGGTATTATATAAAATGCCGGCATTTTATACATTACCGGTGACATACAGATTGTAGAGACATTAGATTATTTCGAAGCAGGAGACATGTAAATTGAGTAATACCCTCTCCGGGACTCGAACCTCTCGAATACGCTCCGAGTGTGCTGGCTAATACACCACGAAGGCATGCTAAGAAGGCGGGAGAAATACCTTATAAAATTTATAGATCATACGGCATATTTTTAGACCAGGTGGTTCAGGTCGTATTCCTCTCATTCGTACCTTATAAAATTTGTAAAAATCAATTAAGTTTTAGCGAATGAGGCCATTAATTTAAAATCGAATTAAATGGCTAAAAATGCTTTTGTCTTTTGAAATGTTGCGTCGTTCTGTATCATATAACATTAAAAGATTCTTACATTTTTCGTTTTTATCAGGAAACATTAAATTAGATAAGAGATAAAGCAGTTTTATACCAACTTCCCTTATCTACTGCTTTCAATGACCCCTTTGAAATCAGTTGCAGGATAATGAAATTCTAGCATTGTACTGTAAAGCTACAAATATTTGTGTCAGCAAAACAAGAAGTACGCAGTAGAGAAAAAGCTTGTCTCTGAGTAAATTCTATTGCACACAAACAATAAATTAAACTGTAATGAAAAGTGAAAGGCAAACTGTAATGAAAAGTGAAATGCACACATGTAGCACACACCATTGAAAACGAAGAACTGTTTTTTCCAGGTAGATGAGTGAGCGATGAAGCACACCTAAGTAGCACTTATGCTTTAATATGTGTTATGTAAAATAAAAATTTTAACGTTTTAATTTAAAATTTAACCAAAAAAAGCAATTATATATTGGTTTAGATCAAACTGGCAAACTCCTGAAGCAGTTTGATGCGGCCTACGAATCCATTTCTCATAAATTAATTAGCATTATTATGATATTAACTATTATAACAAGAATTTGAAGAAAAGTGTAATATATCTTAATGATTTGGGGGTCCAGTTTTGCATTACTTTCAGTACGATTAAAGACGAATGTGAGAAAACGCCGCCGAAAACATATACAAATGAAGCTAATTAACTTGCCCTGACATTTAAATCTTACTCAGATTTGAAGATACAGAGCTGATTAATTTTTTTTCATACTTTTCCAAGATAAATACCATCAGTTGCAAGCTTTTGCAGTAGGAATAATCGCTTTATTTGAGGGTGGAGTACATTTATATGTACAACCTTGCACAAAAAAGGAGGCAGTTCTGTATTTCCCGTTCTACTGGACCGATCGACGCCATTTCACTTGCATATTTCATGTCTCGAAAGCGAAGGTCAGGATATATTAGATTTGTATATAGTATTGTGCTAACATTGTCAAGACTTGTGTTTCTCTTGATTTGCTTTGGAAACATGGTATGCCCTGAATACGAACAGGGAGCTTACTCAAGCTATGTTCAAGATTTGTGAATAACAGACGACACAAGCAGGAGGGTATACGAAACCCTTTATTTTCAATACTTTACAGGCACTTCCGAACTTCGGAATACAGAGACCAATCACTTGTGGTCTGAACGTAAGAATATAAAACTACTAACTAAAACTCTAACTAAAAGCTAACTTTGAATTAGTATTCAAATGCCTACCACTAAGACTGGCCTTTATTTAAAAAGGGTACGTATGTAGTACGCCGAGCTGCTGAAACTACAATACGTTTGCAATATCAAGAGGGCTAAACCTCTGTCCTTAAAGGCAACCAGCAACCGAGTGAAAACTCGTAAAACTGCAGTGGCAAGCAGCTTACTTTCTAAAACTCCTTCTCTCTCTCTTGGCAAAAAGCCACAATTTTAAGTACTTGGGCGTTAGCAAGACAATTTGCATAAACAAGTTAAAGCATTTAATTCTGCCGGAAGTAGAAAATAAGAAGTGATAGTACAGTTTTAAAATAAAATAAACGTTAGTAAAACTTAGGATCCTTACATACTTCCCGCCAGAGTTAATTAGTTTGAAACTGAGGTCTAAAACGACCTTTTTGAAAACTTTTAGCTCTAGATTCTAAATCTAACGCGAGGCCAATCTTTTACAAACATTCCTCACTAGAAACTATCTAATCTAGAAATTAAAAGTCGTTTTTACATGATCAATTCCATGGACAATTACTTTTCATCTGTACTGCATCTGCAAAGGGGAGTTTTTCTTAGTTGAATCTGGTTCCTTCCAGAGATCTCTGGAAGGAACCAGATTCAACTAAGAACTAATTTAATGAAATGTTAAACAATCAAATGGCAAATAACATGAACACGTATATCTTTCTTTTAAAACTATTCTTATTTCATTCATGCCACTATTTAATTATCTCCTCGTGCTCTCTGACATGTGTTGTAAAGAGAAACACCAAACACGTGCGTGTCTATGTACAAGTGTTCAACACTACCGCCTGCAATTAAAACACTAACGTGTTAAAATTCAACATAACAAGACCTCAGAATACACCTTATATTCATCTCTGAACCCTGAAGTATTATTCTCAAAAAGTGGCTAACTCTGAAGTGTAGCGTCAGAGAGCCTAACTACGTTCATTCAACCTTTAGCACATATTCACCATATTTGGCTCTTGTTTTCAGTCATACCAATAAGTTAACATTTTGGCATTACTGCAACATTTTTATTTCTAACATATCACAGTACTTCTTAGCTTTTAAGATAACAGTTCACATTGTACATAAGGACATATTAACATGCTCTTAATTTTACACATTTTAAAACATACATTAGTAGTACAATGTTTGTTAACTTCTATTTCTTCAAAGCAAGTGCTAATTCTTTTACATTTAAATACTACATTTCAAAAGTCCTTCAGACTAAAATTTCTTTCCTTGACAGAATTTTTTTTTTAAATAAAATTTTATACAGTAATTTTACAGTTTTCTTAAGGTACCTTTCTCATAGATTACCAAAGCTTTTACAATACTCAAGTATTTACACATTCCTATTATACAATAATTTTAGTTTTACTCGTGAGTAATTGAAAAACATAGTAACAAAATAGGTAAAACTCATTTCTCGCCTTTTTGGCGATAAAGGTAGGCATCACATGAGGTAAAACTTCTTAAATTCTGCCACTTGCAGTAAGAACGAAAAATTAACTTAAAGTTTCAAAGTAACATGAAGTTTTATTTATCTTTGTGATATTCCGACATCTGTTTAGCTGCCCAGTTCGGAAAAGTGGGGAAGACTACAGTCTAGTTTATTCTCCGTCTTGTGCGGGTTCGCCCTTCAGTTCCTTCCTCAGTGAGCTTTCTTTCTTTCTTTCTTTTTTTTTTTTTTTTTTTTTTTTTTTTTTTTTTTTTTCCTGTTTGATGACCCTTGAAAAGAACTTCTTCCTAACTTCTAATTGTACTCTCGGGGGACGCTTGATGGGAGCTGTTCCTTGGAGGTATCGGGACAACTCTCTCCTGTTGTTGCCTGGATCTAGTTGCTGGCTGTTCAAACGTTTGTTGCTTCCTTGCATCTGCAGCTGGCTTTTCCGTTGGTCGATTTCGTGGACATTTGCTGCGTAGACTCCTATCCGATGGGTACATCTTTCGTTTTGGAGCAGTGTTATGGTTGCTGCCATTTCTCCTGGCTCTCTTTGCATTAGTAGAATTTTTCCTTTCTTCATGTTGGGGGCGAGTCGTGCCCTCTCTTTTCTGGTCGGTGGAACGGCTTCTTTTTCTTGTTACCTTCAGTTTTCCAACGGGGGAAACTTTCTTTTCGTATGGACCTCTCTACTCATGGCTTGCCCTTGTGATTGTCGTTGTGCCACCTCTGGAGATTGTGCCTGCCGTGCCGGATCCTGCAAAAGATCTTTAAATATTTGCATTTTATTACGATTATAGAATGGTTTGATCTGGTCAATGTTTGCGGTGCAGGTTTCACCATTCTTGGCTTTTAACACCACTACAGCCTGAGTTACTTTCTCTATTACATAAGGTCCTTCAAATCGTGGATAGAACTTTGTAATTTTATCATATGTCATAACACAACTTCTGTTTCCTTTGTGCTACTTCAGTGTTCTTCCTTGCTTCTTTAATTAATTTTTCTATATCGCCCATTTGAAATTCAGGGGCTCTTTGTTAAACATAAAATAATCTATCTAACGACGTTATAATCTTCCTGCCTAAAAATAACTCAGCAGGAGTTTTGCCCGTCGTCTCATGTTTTGCGGTCCTAAGAGCGAAAGCTAGTTCATTGACATAGTTATCCCAGCTTTTTTGAAAATTTTTAACATAACTACGAATATTTTTCACTATATTTCTATTGACCCGTTCCGCTATATTTGATTGCGGCCGATACGGGACCATTTTTAAATGACGTATACCCAGTTTTTGGCACGTCTTCAAATATATTACTTACAAATTGAGGACCATTATCCGATATAACTTTTAGGGGCGCCCCGTATTTTAAAATATATTTATTTAAAATAGAATCAGTAACTACTTTCGCAGAGGCTCGTTTTAAGGGAACAATTTCGGTCCACTTACTAAACTGGTCAACCATAACAAGGAGATACCGACATTTATTTAACTGACTTTTCGGGAAAGGGCCCTATAAATCGATGCCAATTATTTCATTTGGAAACTCTAACTTAATGCTATTTAGAAACCCGGGCGGGCCGAAATTAACATTATTAACTGCTTAACATGTTGGGCAGGACTGGACATACGCCCTTGTTAACTTTTGCAGCTGAGGAAATTAAACTGCTTTGGGTAGGCGTTGGATGGTTTTTCGAATACCATCATGAGATGCCAAAGGCGAATCGTACGCGTTGGATGGTTTTTCGAATACCACCATGAGATGCCAAAGGCGAATCGTGCAACTCCTGCAAGTAAATTTAATTAATAGCTAATCTTAATTTACTAGCTGGGATAACAGGTCGAAATTCGTTGTTGGAATTCGTAGTTTTCGTATAAAATAATAGACCATCTATTATTAGTTCGTAATGGGCCCGCCCTATTTCTTATCGCCGCAATATCTTGGTGGCTAAAATTTTCAGGATCTTTTAAATAATCATAAATATTTTTAAATTCCGGATCCATACCCAGTTTTGGTTTTTTCCAGTTTTATTTCTCGTCTTCTCGAGATGTATCGTATATGCTGTGAGCATTGCCACCTTTACAGTATTACCATCTTCATCTATTTTTATTCTGGATAGGGCATCTGCTACGATATTTTCCTTTCCGGGGGTGTGTTTGATTACCAAATTATATTCCTGTAACTTGAGTGCCCATCTTATTAACCTTGGCGATAAGTTTTTCCCTGAGTATAATCTACACTCATGTCCATAAATTAAGGATAATTCGGAGTTACGCGGAAATCGAACTCTAAAATAAATATATCACCTTTAATATCACTACACACATCTTCCAGAATTATATGCAAATTTCAGGAAGTAACCAGATGACACCGATGGTACGTCACAATGACGAGAGTGTAAGAGAGTGATATATAAGGAATACAGGCAAAGACGTAAAATTGTTCGCAGGCGCTTTATAAGCATTTCAGTGCAATAACCGAATAGTTATGACACAAAGGACGCATTTGCATGATTTTTTAAGTAGTAGAATTATCGGCCGTCTGGAATGTGGGCGTACCCAACTGGAAGTATCAGACGAATTTGGAATTGCCCAAAGTGTCATCTCCAGGCTTTGGCAACGATTCCAAGATGATGGTAATGTGAATAGACGTTACAGCACAGGTCGCCCCAGAGTTACAGAGTTACAACGCCGAATGAGGACCGGTATTTGGCAGTTACTGCCAAAAGAAACATGCGGAGCGCAGCCTCAGACCTGTCTCGTCAGCTCTCTTCAGCCACTGGTACGACAATTTCAAGGCAGACCGTGTACAGACGCGTAGGGCAGATTGGTCTATATGCTCGTAGACCTGTCAGATGCGTTCCACTTACTGCAACTCACTGTGGCCTGCGGTTAGCCTGAAGTAGAGAGTATGCATTGGGGACAGCGCAACAGTGGGCTTATGTGATGTTTTCCGACGAGTCCAGGTTTAGGTTGCAGTCTGATTCTCGTCGGACTTTCAAATGGAGAGATCCAGGTGCCCGTTACCACCAAGAAAACATCATTGAACGACACCGTTATGGTGTCGTTTTCTATAATCGTATTCTATAATCGAGTGCTCGTTTGGGGTGGAATTATTCTGGGTTCCAGAACTGACCTGCATGTTCAAATTGGAACCATGACAAGCCAAATCTATCGGGACGTCATTCTGGAACAACATGTACGTTTGTTTCGGAGCGCCATGGGCGCACAATTTGTGTTTATGGATGACAACGCCCATCCCCACCGTGCCAACATCGTAAGCGAATGCCTTCAATCGGAAGATATCACCCGTATGGACTGGCCAGTCTCACCGGACTTGAATCCAGTAGAACACGTGCTTGGCCGACGAGTTTGCAGCCCGTCAACCTCCTCCTACATGTCTACCGGAATTTCGGAGAGCATTGCTTTTTGAGTGGTGTAATATTCCCCAAGATCAAATCGATAATTTCATACTCAGCATGCCTAGGCGTTGTACGGACTGTATTGCATCGTCTGGGAGACATACAATATATTAACAATCATACCAACCATGTAATATTGGTTTTTTTGTAAATAGGTTTTTTTTTTTTTTTTTTGTTTTTTTTTTGTAATTTGCTCCAGGGTGAAAAAATCGCTAATTTTTTTAATAATATCAAACATATAGCATCTTTTTTTGCTCTTTACCTTTTGTTTAATAAATAAGCTTTACAAAGTAAATTTTTTTTTGCTTCTAACTCTTCCTTTGCCTGATTTTGCATTATCCTTAATTTATGGACATGAGTGTAGCTACCGCCGCATGATCAGAATACACTGTTACTGGCGCACTTCCAAAATAAACTCGGAACTTCTGCACTGGCTAACAGAACTGCAAGTGCCTCTCTCTCAGCCGCGAAATAATTTCTTTGAGTTTCATTTAAAGTTCTACTAAAAAATGCCACGGGCTGCTGATTTTGGAAAGTACTGCTCCTACCGCATGATCCGAAGTATCCGCTGAAATTTCTAAATTCTCTTCGTTCTCAGGGAATTTCAAAATAGGGGCTTGCGTTAACGCTTGTTTTAATTTTTCAAAAGCACTATTGGCTTCGGCCGTTCACGAGAATCTTGCCTTTTTCCTTTTGAATTTTAACAATGGTTCAGCAATAGTTGCAAAGTCTTTTATCAAGGATCTACTAGTATAATATGAGCAAAGTCCTAGAAAAGAAGACAGCTTCTTCGCCGTATTTGGCGGCGGATACTTTTGAATGGCTATTATTTTTTATTCGTCCGTTTCGATTCCTTTCTGAGATATTTTATATCCCAATTATTTTAATTCAGTGGCTGCAAATTTACACTTTTCAACATTAACTTTTAGACCGGCCTCATTTAATAATGAAAGCACCTCTCTCAAATCTTTTATATGTTGATCCAAATTATCACTAGTAATAATGATATCGTGTAAATATATAAATGTGTTCTTTCACAGTGTCCATACATCGCTGAAATGTTGCCGGTGCCCCTGAAGGCCAAACGGCATACGCAAGAATGCATTAAGTGCCAGAATTGGTTATAAAAGCAGTCTTAGGCACATCTTCTGGTTTTACACCTATTTGAAAATAACCCGTCGTTAGAAGTCATGTTCCTTAAAATTTCTTTAATAATAGGTAACTGATATACCGGATATTTAGTAATGGTGTGTAATTTACGATAGTCAATTGCAAAACGCCACCGTTTTGGATGTGTAACTGGATAATCATTGTTTTTCGTACATAACACAACCGGGCTGGCATAACTACTTGAGATGGGCGTTATGATCTTTTTACTTAACATATCTCGAATGTGCCACTCTATAATTTTTTCTTTAGTCTTATCATATCGATACGGCTTGTGACGAACTGGCAGTGAATCTCCTGTGTCGATTTCATGGTTCGTAACTTGAGTAAATCCGGGAATATCACTAAATAAAGAAGCAAATTCACTTACCACTTGGCGAATTTTTTCTTGCTCTCCCGTAGGCAGGTGGTGGAGATTTAATGTAGGGTGGTTCTATTTTTTCTTCGAGCACTGGTTTCATGGTCAGCTTAAGGGACGCTTGGTTAAAATCAAGTGTTACTTCGGCCTCTGAAAGAAAATCTATCCCTAAAATTACATGTGCTTGTAGATTTTTTACGATAAAAAACATAATTTTTACCTACTCGTCCTTAATACGGATATAGAGTGGGATTTTACCTATGCATTTGCATCATTCCCCCTGGGCTGCTAATACTGTCGTATTATCCGAATTATATATTCTATATTTACGGAAGTATTTCCTTAAAAAACATTCTGCCACACAGGAACACTACGCGCCTGTATCCAGGAGTGCGGTGGCTGGAATATTGTTCACCAAAACTTCAATCTTTGGAAGAATCAAATTTTTCACAATAACTGTATTTAGCTTGAAGGAAGAGTGGTTTTCTTGGCCTTCGGATTTCCGCACCCTCCCGTCAGCAGAAATCCGTTTTAGTTTAAATCTTCTTTCTTCTTTTCCATGCCTTCCTTCTTTTTCCGCTGGCCTTCAACTTTTTTTCTGGCTTATTATTGAACTGTCGACGTTCGCCGGTTGTTTTTGGATACTCGGGTTTCTTAGACCACTGATTCGACTTGCTTCCGTAGCCGTGCTCTTGCCTTTGCTGTGGTCTTAGGCGCACCAAATTGGCTTCGTTGCTCGTGCTGGCGTCTTCTTTCAATGTCCGCCGTTCTTCTACTTTCAAACTGGATTGCGAGCTCAAATAACTTTTCCAATGTCGTCGGATTCCTTAATTCAATAAAATCTTGTACTTGGGGAAGTAACCTAGGCAAAATTACTTGGATTATTTCAGGATCCGGACGGCTTCCATACAAAAGTTTAAAGATGTGTATTTTTTTTTTTTTTTTTTTTTTTTTTTAATAAAGCTTGAGAGAATTTCGATTCGTTGCTGGTATGTGCTGAAGAGTTCCAATTTGGCACGATTTCTTACGGCAGGGAAGGCTTTTACTAAGGCAGTCTTGAAATTTTGGTAAGTATAGGTGGGACTTCCCACTTGACCCAAGAAGTTTCCTATACATTTGAACTAATTAAGCGCTTGGCTCCTCAAAGCGACTTTCTGGAACTCATGGACTGGATATAGCATGAGGTGGTCATCCAATTTTTCCAAAACACTGGTCACCGGAGAGTTTCCGTCAAAAATTGCTGCTGGTTTCATCGATGCACGCATGGTCTGGACGATATAACCAAATCCTTCCAGGGCGGCAGATGGCAGTTCTGGATTCTGAGCCGCTGCTGCAGGCACCTCAGCTTATTCTTGAAACTCGGCCATGGTTGTTCTTCTTCGGGCACCACTGTCAGGACTTGTGTTTCTCTTGATTTGCTTTGGAAACTTGGTATGCCCTGAATAAGAACAGGGAGCTTACTCAAGCTATGTCCAAGATTTGTGTATAACAGACGACACAACAGGAAGGGTATACGGAAACCCTTTATTTTAATACTTTACAGGCACTTTCCGAACTTCGGAAAACAGAGACCAACCACTTGTGGTCTGAACGTAAGAATATAAAACTACTAACTAAAACTCTAACTAAAAGCTAACTTTGAATTAGTATACAAATGCCTAGCACTAAGACTGGCCTTTATTTAAAAAGGGTACGTATGTAGTACGCCGAGCTGCTGAAACTACAATGCGTTTGCAAATATCAAGAGGGCTAAACCTCTGACCTTAAAGGCAACCAGCAACCGAGTGAAAACTCGTAAAACTGCAGTGGCAAGCGGCTTGCTTCCTAAAACTCCTTCTCTCTCTCTCTTGGCAAAAAGCCACAACTTAAGTACTTGGGCGTTAGCAAGACAATTTGCATAAACAAGTTAAAGCAATTAATTCTGGCCGGAAGTAAAAATTAGAAGTGATAGTATAGTTTTAAAATAAAATAAGCATTAATAAAACTTATTAATAATTAATAATCCTTACAACATAGGCCCCCTCCTGATAAAAAAGCAATTTTTTTTTTTCTGAAACGACATGCCGCTGTTTTTCTGTATTTCGATTCTGCGACTCAAATTGTGCGAAAGTGCCACGTTTTGTAAAAATCGCACAAGCAGTTTTGAAAAAGTAAGCTCTCAGTGTTAATCGAATTTATATATTTATTTACCTCGCCCTCTCTTTTTTTTATTAAACACATTTCATTATTTTTTTTAATAATCCGAAATTTAGGTTCAATCCAAATAACATTCGCATATTATTTTCTGATTTATTTTTTAATTTGTATTTTTTTAGTATTTTAAATAATGTTTTTCGAATCATTTTTTAAATATAACGTATAAAATTTTTACCATCGCCTTAAAATTATACCTGCAAAAGTTTTTTTTTTTTTTTTTCCTTTTTTTTGTTGAAAATGTCCCAAGATATACGTGAATTTGTAAAATAGCGCGTTTTGGAATTTGGCATATTTGTTATAAGCGAAAATAACGCCAAATATGGTTTGCGTAGTTTATTAAAATTATTTGAAAAAATGAACAATGCACCTTTTTTCTGCTCTAGCACAATGAAAAAAAGGGAAAGGAAAACTGATTACTATAAATAAGAATTTCGCCAAGTGAATTAGTGCAAACTGAAAAAAGTGCGCCAAGGTAAATTTTTAAATTTCTCGGTAAATTCCTCACCAAATTTTAAAAAATTTAATACTTAATTATAATTTGATTCAACCGAAATATGGAAAAAAAAATCGTTATAGCATTTCAGGAGAACTCTGATTTTGTGCCAAAACACCTATATTAGAGGAACGCTATACAACTCAAACAAGACTTTTTTGTTTGTTACTCTTTACAATACAAATACAGTGACAGCTAAATATTAAATTTTCATGCTGACATTTATTTCAAATAATTCTTTCTAAATGTTTAGTTAATCATAATATAATTTACTTTAATTTAAACTAAAAAACAAGATATGAAAACTTCCTTGAGATACAAAGACAAAATTTTTTTAGTGCGACAGAACTTCCGCATGAATAATAACCTAGTCTGTTTCTCTTGTGTAACTTTTTATTATGCATAAATTAAAATATCCACGTTTTCCCCCATGTAAATAATTATGAACATCTTTTATTTCTTACTTCAGCTTGTTCGCTCACCATCGTTCGAGCGGTAAAATCGTTGAACATTACTAAGTCAACCTGGGTTTGATTGCAGGCGGGCGGACTGGCTCCATGGGCAATTTCCTGGCTTTTCCCATGTATGAAATGTATACGATCCAGTCTCCTTTAGAAAGTCCTGCACGAAGGCATCCCTTCTCTTAGGCAGAGAGCTTTCGAGTGTTTTGCCGTAATCGTATAAAACAATCTTACCATAGTTTGACACTTGATGGTGTTTCGATTCTCATAAAGTTTTTAGCGTTGGAGAGAAATAACTAGAAATTATCCTCATAATGGATAGTAGATGCTCAGCGCTCTCTAGGTGTGTTTTTTTTTTTTCTTTCTTATTAATTTTGAACTCTGAAAATTAGCTTTCTCACATATAAATGCATTCCCGAACAAAGCGATAATTCTTAGAGTAAAATTTCACAACTGATTTAATTTTTTAATAAAAATTAATCAATTAATTTGATTTTTAATCAAATCTTTGAATAAGGTTTATATCATACTATAAGTTATTTAGCATCATTTATTATTTTAATTAGCTTCATTTATTTATTTCTGATGTGTTATTCACGTTCGTTTTTAATGGAATGAAAATAATGTAAACTCGAATTTCAACTGTTTAAAATCTACAGATCTTTATGACTCTGTATTTGCAACAAATTCATATTTGAAAAGTATTCGCTGGCGCATAAAGTTGCATCTGGGGCCGCATGCGGCCCGCTAGTTTCAGACCGCTGCTATGATTATTCGAAACAGAGTGATTTATTATATATATATATATATCCAGGCGGATCCTTTTTGATTTCAGCAAACAATATTTAAAAGCAAAGTTTTGAACGAAAGTTTAGATGAAAATGGCAAAAACACGTGAAAAATGTTTCTGAATATTGAGAAAGGAAATATTAGTGGTGCCATCTTGTGGCAGGAATATTGGAAAAAAGACTGACGGATCATTTGATGCCGGTTTATTGACTGATCACCTAAAAGTATTCAAATTTTAAAACCCAGTACTTGAAAGCTAAAGGAGGAGTAAAGGAGAAACAAAGCTAAATACCTCATTAATTAAAATTTAACCTGTATTATTCAATTATTATTTGTGTATTACTTACCTGTGTTACTGACTTGTTATTTGGGCAATCCTAAAAAGTCTTATCGTGGAGATGATTACTAATCTCATCCAAAGATCCATTGCGTTTGCCACCATATTATTCCTACGTCATCAAATGTGTATTATTAGAGCAGTGGCGTTGAAGAAATATTTTTATTAGAAGACAAGAGGTTTCCTTTTGAAAAATTCTATAAAACCGCTTTTGATGCTGGATTGTTCTTGTTAATGCTTTCTTTACTTTTTGGGTGCTGCAGTACTTCAATTTAAGAATAACTTCATGCTCTTGTTTGCAATTTGAGAACAAATTATAAATTTCTTTACCTTTTTTTTTTTTTTTTTACTTTTTTAGCAAAAGCAGCAAAAATGCAGTGGAAGAAATTACGAGACAACTTCCGCGAAGCTCTGAAGAGGCAGAAAGATTCGAAATCAGGTGGTGGACGAATGTGGAGGTACCAGCAACAGATGGAATTCTTAATTCCTTACATGCAAAGTAAGACTCAAGATCCCAGAGAAGACAGCGACAGAACCTCTGGCGATGGCAACGAAATAGTTCCTTACTTGGAAGACAGTTCCTACAAGCGATCATCTTTTGACCCTAGTGTAGACGAAGAAGGCAATGATTCAGTTCCTTCGCTGCCCAGAAGGAAACGAAAATTGGGCGCCGCTTCCTACTTCGATGAACAGAAAAATGAGAAAGAAGATAGAGAGTTCAATAGAAACGCTATTGTGCCCGGTAATGCCTTATTAGACTTTTTCTCCAGCATGTACAACACAACTGAAGAACTTCCTCCGCACCTGCAGATACAGGTCAAGAGGAAGATATTCGAAATTGTTACAGAAGCGGAGGAAACGGCTCTCGTGTTTCAGCAACAACAACAAGAATACGATGTTCATAATTTCTTATAAAATTTCATGAGGTTTATGAAATTCATTAAAGCTTTAATTATCTCTATGACGATTGTTTATTTTACTATAAATCCTTGTTTCTTTCTTTCTTTTTATTTTTTTTTTCCTCCTATCCCATTTTTAGCCCAAAGGAGCGGTAGCCATGAAGTAATCTCGAAACGACATTTTGCGTATGTTCGCTATAAACGGCGTATAACTTTTTAAATTGTTGCCGCCAAATATTATGCCTCTGTATTATATTTAAAGAAATTAAATAATGAAGAATCGGAAACGTAGTCTTGTTTCGCTTGCGAAGAAAGAGATCTTAGAGCAATCAAATTTGATAACGTTATCCTCATTCAAATGGGCACCTCGAAGCCGATTTGTTTTATCTATTTCTATTTTGTAGAACTTAACGAGTTTTGATACAAACTCAACGATTCAAAACGAGCAGGCAAGAACTAACGAAAAAAAGACATGATCTCCAGCGCGCGAGATGTCGAAATTGTAAATTTAAATTAAACAACTTTCAAAATTCGTTTTTAAATATTTTATGTTTTACTTATTTACCAATAAAAAAAATAAAAATTGCAAGAGAAAATGTGTTTGAAATTTTCTATTAGTCAGATTTAAAAATTATTTTCTAAAAGAAGAGTTACAAATTTCTTACAGAAGGAAAGGTAAAAAATATCCAAGCCTGAAAATGCAAGCTTGTAATTTTTGGACGTTAATCTGCTGATAAATATGCTAATTTTTTAAAATTAATTTCAATTAAAAAAATATGGAGAATTTTAATTGGAAAGAGGCGCACAACCAGCTTTTTCTTGACAATTATACACGCTGAAATAGGAAACCAATGTTAAATTTCTGCCCTACTCCTCTGGATGTGATCAAGGTGACAGCCGGGAAAGCGTCAGACGGAGGGAGAAAACCCTTTCGGGTTAGTCTATTTCTTATAAGGTCCATGGTTCGGACGGGCGTGATAAAGGGTATTGTGATTTTTGTAATCTAAGAGATGTTATATCAAGAGGCGAGGTAGTTGAAGAATAATTGTAAATGTGGAGCATCAAGTAAGAGAGTGTGTGAATGTAGAGGAAAATGAGAAGAGGTAAGAAAGTGAGAGGGAGTGCTCCCGGGTGAGATGTGTGCACGATGAGGAAGGGTTACAGCCAGTTGCAAAGGGAAAAACGGGAGGAGTAGTGTGAGAGACGAAAGAAGGTGCGTGGAGGAAATGAGAAGCTAGGAAGGCAATGATGTTGGAGAGAATAGACAACATCAAATTTAAATGTGAGGAGCAAAATCTTTAAAGTGTGAGATGTAGTGGGAAAAAAAAGTTGTAGGAAAAATCAGAGGATGGAGAGAGAAGGATGGGAGTGGGTGGGGTTTGTAGATAAAAGAATTTGAGAGGGGAGTGGCTGTCGTCGAGAATGGCATTGTAAAGGCTTTTGATTTAGTAGAGGTGGAAAGAAGCAAGGGATGTAAAGGATCCATAGCATATGATCATATTCTTAATATAGCCAAAGGAAAGGAGGAACTAGATCGAGGAAATTCAAAATATAAAGTGAATCTTGGCCACAAGGAATGGGAAAATACAAAGGTGTGATCAAGAGCAATGGGAAATAGGCAGGTGTGCTACAAAGCTGATATGATGAATTACGGAGGTATAATGTGATGCTAATCCTGCAAACTGGTCCGTAGTAGGAGATATGGATTTCTAATCCTACTGTTTGTAGAATCTTGAAGAGTCTTAAAAACTGGCCAGGAGGAGGTGAAGAATATCAGCGATGTTATCTTCATGTGAGGCATAAAGCAAAAAATTTGGGAAGGAGAGGTATATATATATATATATATATTATATAAATTATTTCCTAAACCGTATTGATTATGTTATTATCTTAAGTTTAATTAAGTAGAATTATTTTAAAAGTGTGCATCCATACTGGTATATATATTATTTTTTGGAGATAAATGAAGAGTTGAGGAGGGGTGGAAAGGTGATTGAGAATTCAGGTAAAGGCGAATAAAAGTATGTAAAGCTAAAATATTTTATAAATCATGAAAAGGTAAGTAAAGTTAGAGCAAGGAAGAAACAAAAGCAGAAGGGGGAAAAATAATAATAAAGAATGTATATTTAAGGGGGTAATAATAAATAAATAAAGGTAAATATTAAGTTTTTTGGGGGGGAGAGAATGAGGTATGTGTGTCAATGTAGAGTCAAGACAGAAAGTATAGAACACTCTCAATAAAAACATTTCTAAATAATAATAAACATACAGCAATAATGATAATAGTAGTAGGCGGGAAAAATCAGAGAAGGAGGATTTTTTATACTTAAAACATAACCATATTAAACAAATTAATTTTTTTCCCGTTATCGGAAACTTTGGTGAAAGTATTTGAAGCCGAGAAGTTGATGACGAACAAAATGCCGTCAAAAAATTTAATGATGATACTAATAATTATAAGAAGTAGTAACATGAAGAGATAATGATAATATTAAGAATAAGAAGGAAGGCGTCACTGTAAGAGAAGTTCTTACCTTGTTGTAGTATTTTGCTGAAGGGTAATCCAGAATACAATCCGATATCTTAAGTCTTTCGTAGATGTGCACACTGTATATTACGTCGGAATGGTAGTAATCCAGAGGTGTTTGCGAGATATTTGCACTAAAGAGCTAAGGAGATGCTAAATGGAATTATTTGTAATTATCTTATTGAGGACAGAATAATCTAGCGAAGAGTAAGTGCGGAAGTTTTGAAATTCCTGCATAGACCAACGCCCAGTAACTTATCCTTTCTTACACAAAAGTTCCAAGCATCAGGACCCAGGAGTATCGAGGGGCCTGAAGAGGGAAGCTGCTGATTGACAGCTTGTTGATAAGGAGGTCCGTGTCGCTTGGATGTGGTATATGTGTTAATTCGTACACCCACACTCAACAAATAGAAGGGGTCTAGGAGCATATAAGTACGAGATAACACGAAAATCAACATATTATGTGGGGCAACTACCACTAATTTAGTAAAAAAAGTAAATTAGAGTAAAGAAATGCTACTTATAAAATGTTATATTAACCGTTAAGATTTCAATTTATCCTGGTTCAAGAAACGCTAATTCAAATCACACATAACATCAAGGTTACAAATCACGTTTCAAAACTGCCAAGTTTATTCACGTCCAACACACATTCAACTGGCTCTGCCAGATCCAAGAACAAGAAGTATAACACCATGAAAGATTTACGCCCTCTTTGGTGATATTTCCACATAAAATTTCTTACACACTGGGTCCGGCTGAACTGTAGTTCAGAAAAATCAAGATTATCAGTGATATGAACATTTTCAAGAATTATTTTCTATAATCATTACGCATTTCAATACAAATTCAAGTTTTTGTAATCAAGA